CCTCCTCCTCCTCCTCCTCCTCCTCCTCCTCCTCCCCCTCTCTTCCTTTTCCTTTCCATCGTCAGAAGAACGTCATCGGTCGCGAATAAATACCAGGCAAGGTCTACGAAGATATTTTCCTCCGAGAAATCTTTTTTACTCGAAACAAAAATTTTCCTTCGACAAAAAAGCAAAGAGTCGTCTGAAAATTACCGCAGCAGCTTTCAGTCGTTCAATTACGATAGAAATTCGTCTGACTGGCAAAAAGCGCGAGCGATCATTTTTCTCGCGCGACGACGGCCGACGAGAAGCCATTCGACGCGCGGAGCTCTGCGCCTCCGCGCCGGATAGCTTCGATATTTCGAACTATCGAGATAATTTAGGATGCAAAAAGGCGGGAAGGTCGAGGCAAGGCACTTTATTTCTGCGCGGCTCGTCTCGCATCAGCGGTCTCGACCTGATCAAAGTTAAGTAGACGCGCCCCTGGCTGGTGAGACCTCTTTGAAGCTACGTTGCGGTTTCTCTTTGCCCTAATCTCCTCCTCCGCAACCCCGGCCTCCTCGTCTCCTCTCACCCCCTGCGATCGGGGCCCTCCGTCACCTTCCGGACTGAGACTTCTCGTCACCCGAGACACTTCCGTGGATCGACCATCGTAATTAGCTCGTTTATCCGCGCAAAGCTTACCATTTGCGCGTCTAAAAGAAGGGCACAGATCGACTCGTTAACCAGTTAACCAGAATCTGAAAGACTAACAAAGAGCAAATGTCAGTGCATTTTATGTCTCTTCTGCTACGTCGACATGGACGCAATCGCAATAGATATTTTATTCGAATGAGCTTTTTTTTCTTCTTCGCGTACTGGATAAATATGTGTCGAATTCTTGCACGTGGTGAAAAAAAAATAGACCGAGCGTAGATGTAATTTTCTTCCTCTTGTCAAATTCGAGGGAGGAAAAGAAGAAATAGAAGAAGACGATTCTTGTCTTAACAATCCTTCTATCTCGGAGCGATTCTTTTCACTCTATTCGGATCTTTCTGCCGACGGCACACCTGACATGTTCGTGCACTCACGTACGACTCACGTGCACGTCTGCGTAATACCAGGGATCGATCGGTCGCTTCTCGATCGATCCGAAGCTGGATCCATGTTGTTTTTGCCCTTCGCTCGCGCGACTCTTCCTTTTATCTTCTGCTCGCTTCGCTTGCGACGTTACTGAATCGAACCTATTCGCCTTCTTCTCCTCTTCCTCCTCCTCCTTCCTCCTCGTCTCCTCTCCGTGACTTCGTCTTCTCGTGATTGCTTTCTAAATCTCACGTACGCGCCGGAAAGTTCGATAAAAAAAAAGTGAAATCGTTAAAATTTTTATCACAAATGTAAGAATAAAAATATGTAATAGCGTCTAAGTGACATGAAAACTGATGAGATTTATGCTCATCGACAACTTGCGCAAGAAAATAAATATGAAAGGGAGTACGATCTTTTCGTACAACCTTTTTCAAGTATTGCAATTATATTTCTACATTATAAATACATTCGCATTTCGTGGCGCAGTTTCATGTGTAAATTTCAAGCGGCGTTCAAATTTTGCCTCGTCCGCACCGAGAGAGTAAAAACGCCACGTCGGTCGGGAGGTCCTCGGGAGGTGAAGAAAAAAGGGAAGCGAGCATTATTTCTGTCTCTTATAATATAACCGTATATCCATTTCTCGTCTTCCTTGCCCCGCCAAGTCTCATTTCGAGTCATGATCGGGGTAATGAGGCCCCGCGCGCAGTGGCAGCGGGCCGAGGTAGGTAGTACCCGAAGAGATGATGCTGGAACTGGAAGGAACGAGAGGCGAGAGAAGAGAGGAGAGGGACGAATCTCTCAAGTGATATCAACGTGAAAGGAACGGGAGAGGAGCGCCTGCTTCGGCACCGGGAAAAGGAGAGACGCGCGGGCGGAGAGAGGTAAAACGGACAGCGAAGCCACGATGTTGCCGGGCATGGTAGGGGTAAGGACACTGATTATGGGGTGTCAAACAATCATGCTGATTGTATATTCTGTGCTGACTCCTTCTGTCTGCCTCCACGTCTACTCGTACAGGCTACAACCAGCGGCAAACTCTCGTTTCCCGTCTTCGTGTCCTCTTTCTCCTCGTCATCGTCATCGTCGCGCAGCCATTCTCCTCCTCTTCTCACCGACGGGAGGGGGAGAGGGGGGCGGGGGGAGTTATGCGAAGAAAGAGAGAAAGAGCGTACTGTTCCCTCAAACAGATTTATTATCGAGGAAAGAGACGAAAACTGCATTTCTAAAGGCGCGTCATGGTGGTTTACAAGGAGGAAGTTATTTATCCGGCTAAGATAAATGAACAGTCGAGTAAAATTAGAAAAATCCGCCGGATAGAGAAAAATAGATAAAAAGTCCTTTAATTGTGGGATCTTTTAGCTTGTAAATTTTGAAAAACGAAATTTTGACGAAAAGAAAAAAATACCAATACGAGGGACTCAATGAGAAAGATGATCTTTCTTTCTCTCGCGATT